GCAGGGGTCATTGGCAGCTCATAATCATTGTTCCTCGGCAATTTGTTGTGATTCTCTTGTGTTCATTACACAAGAAACCAAATGATTTGGATATTAGAAAACACATAGACGCGTAAGTTTGGTTTTTTTAATTGATTTTTTAATTATTGTATCATATGTGCACTTACACCAAAATTATTTGTCCTTTTGTAGAGCTTTGGAAGCTCACCTAAGGTTGTAAGGCCTTCCATCTCATGCTAGAAAGAAGTTGACGTATATTGCACCAAAGGTGACCAAACACCTCTTACTGTTGTTCAATTTGTCATTTAAAGTTAATCTGATATGTATTTAACTTGTAGTGTCCACGCCAACCAGGAAGCCATGAGTGCGGGTATTATGTGATGAAGCACATGCACACCATCGTAGCCAAAAATATTATTTCCTCATGGAGGGAGGTAAATATACTATAATTAAGTCAAATATGCCAATTATTAAATGGTTTCTAAATCTGAAATGTTTCAATATGTAGGAATTTACAGACTCATCTCCAATGAAGATTGAAGTGTTAGACGATATTAGAGAGCAGTGGGTTTCTTTCCTTTTAAGTATTCAATCTTCATAGCAAATTTGACTTGTAACAATTTTGATTGAATTGATTTAAGTTAGCAAATTTACATTCGTTTAAGTAAATGAACTGTCTGGAACTGAGGTACATATATTGATTTCAATATGTTTCATATGTACATATCTGTCTGGAACTATATATGAATTGTGCATATCTGTCTGTACAAGTGTTTGGATCTGTGAATATTTGTCTGGAACTGTGATGAATAGGCAGGTCTACTCGAAGAAAGGTAGCATCTGTGAAGAAAATGCAGATACTGTAAAAAAAATAACACCTTCTACGTCGGGTATTGACATAACCGACGTAGAAAGTTTAACATTTTATATCGGTTATAGGCATAACCGACATTGATAACACATACAATCACGATTACTGTTAACCGATATAGATACTGGGGTTATAAAAACTTAGAAAGTAAGACTTTCTATGTCGATTATCAGTGTTAACCGACATAGAAAGTAAGACTTTCTATGTCAGTTATCATTGTTAACCGACATAGAAAGTAATATGACAGGTCAGAATCAGTTATGATCGATCAGAATAGCTCTATGATCGATCAGAACCAGTTATGACCGATCAGTATAGGTCATAGAAAGTCAGTCTTTCTACGTCGGTTCCCTGACTAACTGACGTAGAAAGTCTTACTTTCTACGTCAGTTATTAGGAACCGACGTAGAAAGACTTACTTTCTATGACCCCCGTATCTGTGTCGCCGCTTTAACCGACGTAGAAAGCCCATTTTAACCGACGTAAAAAGCCTTTTCTGCAGTAGTGACAGTTATAAAAGGAACTTTTTACCAATCTCACAAAAGGATTCATTTAAGACTATCATGAGACTCTTAGCCACATTATGACTTAGAGTCATGACTCAAGGCTAAGGGATTGTATAGTGTCCAATTACTGGACTCGGTATATCCTCGACCTTAGTGGTCAATAAGAAAATGACCAATCTATTGAATACGATTGCAGAGGACAAGGATCACATAATCTTAAAAATCTCACACATAATTAAGAGTTATTACCGTAAATATCACACCACGATAATTAAGACATTTAATGTGTATAATTATTATCATCCAAGCCCATCAGAAGGAGATCATGAATGAGTTAAACTAATAAAAAGGGCTTCTAGGTTTAGGTCAAGATAGGTTTTTACACTCAATTAGAACTAGTTAAAGTCTTTGAATATTTTGGCTAGAATAAATGCACGTGAAAATTGTCTTTCTTAATGGAGACTTAAAGGAGAATGTTTATATGAATTAACCAATGGAGTTCTTAGTTGAAGAAAGGGAACACATGGTGTGTAAATAAAAAATTAATATATGAACTTAAGCAAGCTTCCCACCTATGATATTTGAAGTTTAATGATATCATGTTTCATTTGAGTTTAAGGAAAATATTATTCATCAATGTGTATATCTAAAGTTCAATGAGAATAATGTTATATTTATGATTCTATATGTTAATAATGATTTTAGTCTTCTTCATGAGACTAAGAAGTTTCTCTCAAAAACTTTGAAATAAAAGATATAGGTAAGAAAAATTATGGTTTAGAAACAAAATATTAAACGTATTAGAAGGAATGTAAGTCTATCCCGGAGAAAGTATATATCAATAAAGTATTATAAAGGTTCAAGATGAACAAGTTTCAATATTGCTCATTTCAAGTAAAGGAGACAAGTTTAGTCTTACTCAATGTCTTAAGAATGGTTTGAAAAAAAAAAATGGAACAATTTCATATGCATTTGTGATTGGAAGTCTTATGCTTAGACTTATACTTGACAAGACATAAGTTTTATAGTTTGAATGTTAGGAAGATATGAAAGTAATATGGGAATGGAACATTGGAAAGTTGCAAAAAAAATTCTAAGATACTTATAACGAATAAATGATCACATGCTTATATATATACACACACACACACACACGTAATATTATCATCTTGAGGCAAATGAATATTTATATTCTAATTTTGCTAGATATGTGGATATAAGAAAAATCACTTTTGGCTATATATTTCTTTTAACCAGGGAGTAATACCATAAAAATATGCAAAATAATTAATTGTTGTTGCATCTATAATTAATATAAACATAATTTGTAGCATGTTTTGAGGTTACAATTTAAACTAATTAGCTGCAAAATTGTATTTTAGAACTTAAAATTGTTGACAGTATTGTCATGTCATTAAAAATGTATTATGATAATTTTACAACAATTATCTACAAATAATAAGTTATCTGAAGGGTACTAAGCAAATGAAGTTAAAAGAACTTTGTTCTAGAGGAAGAAATTCAAAATAGAACAAATTAATTATGATTATATATTCTTTATGATTGCATGCATATTTATGTTGGAGTAATACAAACAAGTATCATCCTTAAATAAAGAGATTATGTTAAATTACTTATGAATTTTTAATTAGGTTGATATTGAAAATAAGTTTAATTTGTAATACATAAAAAGGATTATATCAATTGAGTCACCTACAGTGGACATGATTCAAATTAATTCATATTCTTAATTATGAATTATGTTATACTAAATTTAAATAACGATTTAAGTGATTTAATATACATTATATTTGTTTTATTTATTTATAATTTAAGTGAGAGAACACATGCTTTTTATCTTACGTGATAAACATGTGACTTGTTATGATACATATAAATAAATAATAACTAAATAATATATAGGTAAAATAAGAGTAGTCTCTCGTGACAACTGTTATTTGATATAAATAACAATTTTAAAAATATTCACGTCCAGTTAAATAAAATAAGGTCTCGTTCCTATATATTTAATCTGTCAAAGAAGACAAAACATAAAATAAAAAGTAAAAGGAGCAAAATTTTGCTTTCTCTTAATCTTGTGTAAATAATTTACAAAGAAAACAATCAAGAACACTCAAGAACATTTATTTACACCATGAAAAAAGTTACACATCATATAAGAATCATCAATTTGAAAGTCCTATTTAAATTTTTTATTTTGCGTAATTGTTAGAAAATCATAATTTTACAGATCAAGCATGGCTTACTAGCAGAAAAAGGACGGGGTGACAGGTTGAAAGTCCAAAAGCAAATATCTTTGACGAAAGCTGAGATACATTCACAGAATGCCATCGTGCTCCACATGCTTGGCTAGTAACTAGTCAGTCAGTATGGTGGATGATCGCTTCAGCGGAGTAGAATAAGCGCCCTTGGTTGGCCGCGTTTGACTTAGCTACTGAACTTATAGAGCTAAATCAAAGTGTATATTATTTCTTTATTTCTTTTCCATTTCTTCCAATCGGCTTTTTATGACTTTTTGGTTGAACTGTCGGGAACATCAGGCAGACATATTTTAGCAATTTGAATGATTATTTATTTGAGTGGTGATATTTTACTCTCCAAGATAAATAACTCTTCCTACAATCCATTTTTATTAATATAATAATAATAATAATAATAATAATAATAAAATTTAATAAAAATAATTTAAAATTATTATTATAATATTAAAATCAGTTGTTTGGTGAATTATTTACAAAATGTGGGTGTCAAAATAGTTTTTCCATATTTCTTTTGCTTGCAATGAAATGGATGCACGCAGCAATGGATGTCAAAATTGTCGCCACGCACACAACACAATCGTCCAAAGCCGTACCCTGCTTGTAATCTAAGGGGGTTAGCAAACTTTAAAAGGAAAAACCAAAAATGTTCTTCAAAGAAATGAAGTCCTTTATTTGAACACTTGATAATCCGATTGCAGGCCTTCATTCGGAACTAAAGTATAATATGACATGCTTCATTTCTTTCTTCCTAGTCCCTTAAACAAGGGCAGGAAACCCTATTTAAAATTAGATAGATATATGGAGTGTTGTACTATGAATGACTAAAATCCTCCTATTTACTATGCTTTGATAAATAATACAAAAACAAAAAAACATAGAAGAATGTTAGATATGAAACAGGACAAGAGGAACAGGACTGGACTTAGATGTAAAAATTCGGCAGTTCTCCCGATAAACTCTTCTATTGTATGAAATGAAATTGATGGATTTGAGAAAATATGTTCTGTGACATTGAAACTAGGAGGAATAAATGGTTGAGGAGCTTATGACAAGAATTATGTTCTAATAGAATTGAGAATAGTTTCTTTGGTAAATGGAGTTGGATTGATTCAGACTAGACTGTAAATTATTCTATCATTAATTAATGGCCTGTCATAGGTGGAACTAATTAATAAAAATGTAGCACAGTAGATATTGAGCTATACATTAAAGTTCCAATCGCAGACCATGCATATTTGCTGTGATTTCTTTGAGCTTACTTTTCATACAATAGTAATAATACAATTGAATCGTCACCACCACGCGCGCATTGCCGCCAGACAGACCAACACTGAGCACTGTTTAACGTTCTTCCATGTTAAATCTGTTCCAAGCTTCCTGGGGGCAATTAAACAAAAATCAGAAACATGCATTCATACATTTGAATCCTGGTACAGTAAAAGATGTCGTTTAACTGGCCGTCTGATTCCTAACACTAACACTAACACAGTCGTCTTGGCTGAACCCAAGAAACACGAGAAAAATATACTTTCTTTCAGCCTGTGCATTTTTTTTGTGACATGATTTAATTATAATTTATATGATTAAAAGGAATGTTACATGTAATTAATACTTTCATGATTTTATTATTATGATAGACTGATTACTGTAAGCAAGTTATGTTAGATACAATATAGAATTAGATTTTGTACATGAATATGATTTTATATGTTTTGTTAAACATAAATGACAATACCAATTTTGCTTCAACAAAATTTATTTTATACTAGATAGTAACGAGTTCATATATTAAAAGTTATTTCCGAACACAAAGATCTCTCATGTTAGTACCATGAAAGAACTCAAATCCCAATCAAAAAGGTTTAAGGGAACCCCATTTAGAACTTAAAAGTGTATATTAAAATTGTAAGGTTGAAACTATGGTATCAGCATAATTGTTAAGAATTAAAAAGAACAAACCTTTAGAAGATCAAAAACCTTCTCGCAAATGTACTTTTGTTGAATACTTGCTCCCCGCTGCTGCAGCTTGTCAGGATGCACAAAAAGAGTAGCCTTACGATAAGCTTTCTTTACAGCTGGGGTGGTTACTACATCTGTCAAAGGAATTGGTTGCCAACCACTATCGGGCCCAAGAATCTGCAAAACACGAATTTGAAAAAAAATTTCCTAAGCAAAATGACCCTATCTAACAAAGGAAATTATAAGACTAGAAGGCAGGCACGGATGGTACTAAAAGACGCAACTACTTGTGAAGATAAAGCTAACATCTGGTTCTATTTCACAAAGCGACTATTTGTTCTATACAGAAAGTATGAATTCATTCACGCGTACTTTCTCAATAATTCAAGTCACGATAACAAATAAATGAACAGTTTTCCTCCTGGTCTTAAAACAACAGAGTGCTTTCAAAAATGATATATTTTCATGTCTTTATTTTTTCTAGTTTAAAGTGATTAGTTTCAAGAGAGTAAGGAAATAGAAATAGGATTGATCATCGGGATGTTCTTATCTATCTACCAAGGCATAACAATCTCAAAGCTTAAACAAATTTAGGATGTTAAACATACATATTGTAATGTAGAAAGCAATGCCCTCAAGTTTCCTGTCTTTCCACTTGACCACCTTTTAACATCAGCATCAAGAACTTCTGCTACCCTCTGCAGAAAATCAAATTTTGTAAGACAATGTGAAACATGTGAATAGCAAAACTTGATAGAAAATTACATTTCTATCTTCTTGCTCCTTCTGCACAAGCCGGTCACGCATATTCTTTTCTGCAAGAGCCTGTGCCTGCATAAGTCCAAAACAAAGAATTAACAAACCATTTGACGATTTAACAATCTGTACAAAAGATATTGGAGAAACCAGGAACCATACCACACGTTCCCCTATTCTCTGGTGCCTCTCAAACCTAGCTTTACATCTCTGAGCAGAATCACCATTAGCTCCATCAAATACATCAGTAGAATCACGAACTTCAGGAAATACAATTTGTACAGAGTCAATAAAAATTTAAACAGAAAGCACTGTAATAAAGAATCTAGGATACAAGATAAAAGATAGATTCTAGCAGAACATGCTAACATCACATACCACCATAGCTGAAAGATTTTGAATGGAAGTTTTGCTTCATTCCATAATCACGGGAAGCCCCAAAGCCTGCAACAGGTTTGTCAGATTTATTTCTTGCATCAGAGGCAGCTTTCTCAGAGAGTGCCCTTTCTAGGGCTCGTGCCCGTGCTTCTACAGTTGCTCTCTCCACAGCAGCACGTTCAGCTTTAAGTTTTGCCTCCATAGCAGCCTTCTCAGCGGGGGTCTTCTCATTTGCCTGACTAGTGGTTTTTCCTAGCCTTTCTCGTCCATCAGCAATGTTTCTCTGGCGTGCTTCAGCAGCAGCTCTCTCTAGAGATGCCCTTTCTCTGGCATCAGCAAATGCCCTTTCCCGTGCTTCTCGAATTGCTCTTTCTACGGCTAATTTCTCCTTTCCTCTTTCTTTCTCCCTCTCTTTTGCTTCATCAAGTTTTTTGAGCTGTTCCCTTTTTTGCTCTTCCTTATGCAAGTTGTCATTTGCTTCCTTCTCTTCTATTGTGGATGCTTGACTACTCTCCCTTTTATTGCTGTGACTTGATTCAACCTTCTTTTTTTCTTTAAAGGGACTTGATTTCCAATCAGATGTCCTAGGTTTCTCGGATTCATATATATTGTCTTCATTGTCATAGAATTTTTCCCCGTTAGAGGAGTTACATGGATTCTCATCCACATCTTCATTTAATGCAACCTTAATCTCCTTTGTATCCTTGCAGATTTCAACAGACTCAGGAGTTGTGTCTTCAACAAGCATTTCCAGATTGCAGTAATTTTCTGACTTTTCTGAGCACTGATCTACATTTGGCCTAGCCTTTATATCAGTGTCACCAATATTTGTAGCAGCACCTTCAGAGTTCTCTCTTTCAAAGATATTTTGTATTTGATTGTCTGCTTCATTGAGTTCAATGGCAACTCGAATGAAGGAAGAAGTCTCACCTGCATGTTTCTCATGGAAAGCATGTGTCTCCTGATCGGGGTCTGTTTCTTCATATCTCTCTTGTTGAAATGAAGCACTACTTGCTACAGATATATCATCATCTAGCACATCACATGAATGAGCCTCTGGATTTACTTCCAGAGTAACCTCATTTTCAATAATTGCATCAGCTGCCCAAGTTTTGTTCAACTTCTCAGTTACATCTGGCTCATAGCTTGAACTGGTTTCTATGGTCTTGCCAGCTTCCTCTGCTTTTACCTCCTCACAACAAGGATCGGGTTGAATCACTCTGATAACTTCAACTGGCTCTTTGTTATCTATCCTTTCCCTTGTATTTCCATACATCAGTTGAGTGGCTCCTTCAAATCCATTCTCACTTGCTTCAGCATCTAGAACCATGCCATTTCCATCAAATTTACTTTCCTTAGTATTTCTTTCAAAAATTTCTTCCTCTGTATGAATATGGTCCACAATATCCTCCAGTATTTCCTGCACATAGACATTGCTAAGGGTATTATCAGTGGCTTCTCTCTGACAGGAATGTTCAGTCTCTTGATTGATATCCAGAGGACCATTCCTTTCATTTCTATCCTCTGAACACCCAAAGTTCTCTGTGCCTTCCTTCATAGTTGTCAACTTTGTTGCATGTTGACTGCACACACTCTCATTGTCAAGTGGCTCCACAATCTCTGTCAATTCACATTCTTCCAGCTCACTAGACACGGAAACTCTACCCTCACTTCCTTTTGGCTCTGGTGTGATATTCTTATCAGCCTCTCCCAGTTCCTGAACAGCTCCCAAGTTTATTTTGCATTCTTCCGGTTCAAAGGACCCTTCAAATTTGTTGTCATCTTCTTGCTCACATGCAACATTTTTCCCATTTCCTGTTATTAACCATTGCCCACCAAGATTTCTTTCACCGTCTTCCAGTTCATAAAAAGATGTAATCCTATTCTCAACTTCCCCATGTTTGTTAACATTCAAACCTTTGTCCATTAATCCATTTTCAAATACCTCCTGAATCGGTTTTGTCTCATCTACTACTTCTTGACACCTTTGTCCATTTTCCTGGACATGTTCTTCACATGCACATGCTTCATTATCTGCATGGACCTTCTCTTCATTATTCTCCAGCCCCCAATATTCCTTGACCATTTCTATTGTTTGATCAGATTCTTCTGGTTTTTCAGCGGTATTCCTATCTGTTTTGTTGACGTAATGCTCTTTCTTGTTATTTTCTGCCTCTTTCAGCTCAAGAATTTTTCTCTTTTGATTTGATTCTTTCTGCTCGACCTCTTTCTCATGTTTTGCTACAGTTGATTTCATTTTCTTCTGTGCTTCTCGGACAGCTTCTTTAGCTCCACAGGTTTCTTTTGCCCCCAGATCTGGCCTCACTTTTTCTATTCTCATAGTTGACTTCCCTCCCTCAGAAGAAGCATTTGGAAAAGTATCCATTTCTCCTATTGTTGTTTTTGTATCAATTTTCATTGTTTTATAAGTAACTTTAGCCTCTCTTTTTCCCTCGGCTTTCAATTCAATGTTAGACCTCCGTTTGACACGATCAGGAAAACCTTCTTTCTTTCTTCTCATCAGTTCTTTCGCAATCTTCATTCTTACTTGAGCCTCTTCCATCGCCTTTCTTAAAGCAGCTACACAAGCAGCTACCTCTGAATTAGAGTGTACCATGTCATCTGAGTATGGTGGAGAATCAGCACCAACACCTTCGAATGAGCTACTTTTAGATGCCTGGGATTTGATTGGCATTGATTTCAGAGCATCACCATTTTGATTATTCAAGTTGCTTTCTATAGTCTCTGATTGAGGAACTTTGACATGTTGTGTTCCATTACTTCCATTGCTGATCTCACATGCATCAAAAAACAGATCAACGGAATCAGATCTCTTTTTAGCTTTTCCTCCATTGTTGGAAGACTGTTTCTTAGAATTATCATGTGAAGCACATGTAAATGATGTAGTAGAATGTGCAGCTTCTTTTATCCCCTCATCGACATGACTACCAGAATAAGTATCCTGTGCTACTGGTACAGACTTATTAGATCTGTTCATCTTCACCGGCTTGACTTCTTCAATTAATTGAGTGTAAGCAGGAACGGCACCAAGTTGAGCTATATGCGTTGTCCCACTAGTTCCATTTTCACTTCCTTGGTTAACTTTATGATATGACATATTGACCCTTTTGGCACCATTGGATGACCACGATGTCACTGGAATTTCCTTCGAACAAGTAGTAAGCTCTTCCCGGAAAGATTGGTGTCCTCCTTCGACCTTACTCCTACAGAATAATAAAGGTCAATAAAACCATTAATGTTAACATCCCCTCCTAAGCAGCCTACGAGAACTTGGTTAGTTAATAATGCCAAAAAATTGATTTGAACAATATAGCAATTTCTCAAAAGATCTCTCCATCCTTCCAAAAACACCAATATATAAATCTGATTAATATTCACATACTAAGCCCCTTCTTGGGGACTTTGCTAAATCTTGTATAATGTGCACCATTTTTGGTACAATACAAGCATAAATTCACCTTTAAATGTCATAAACTAGATTCTCCTTGCAACTTGCAACTAAAAACTCGTTAGTATATTACAAGTAAATGTATTTGAACAGTTAGGTAGATACTGATTCACGGGTCCAATCCCAAATTTTAAAATCATACCTATCATAAACCTTAACCTATAAGATCTCCTCCACTGGTGAAGTAGAATAAAAGGAATGCCAAAAGGATCAACCGCGAAATAGTAAATTCTCGTTGATTTTTTTTTTTCAAGTGATTGAAAAAGTAAGCTATTATTCACTTACTTGCTCCAGAGAACAACACAAATAATTAAATAAATAAATAAAATAGATAAAGAAAACGCAGTTTCTCTTCTCACAGAAAGAACTCACATGACCGACAAAGCGGTCAAAAAAGAGCAGAAACAAAGCCAAATTCAAATAACAAATATTCTCGAATAGAATCTGGATTCCAAGCAAAACATCAACACGCAATCACATTCACTATTCCAAGTCACATTGAGTTAAAACCCTAACAAAAATACAGAATTAAAAAAATTCAGCAAGCAAACTCACCGTCTAGTGGAGCTATCTTTCTCTACTGGCTCGGCCACTAGCTCCTCGAAAGGCACGGCAGTGTCTAGGTTCCCGAACCCTCCGAAGACAGTCGAGTAATCGAGCCTCGAGCGTCGAACGTCGTCGATCTTCTTCTTCCTCTCTTCGAGCTCCGGAAGTTCCAGAATCGGAATCGACGAACCGAGCGAAGCTCCGGCAGTGCCGAAAATCTCGCAGTAATCGTCGAATTGAGAGGAGAAAGTCGGAGCACGGAGCTTGATCGGAGCCGCAAAAACGCCGTCGTAGGCGGATCTTCCGGAGACGCCGTAGCCGTTAGAGAGCTTCTTCGTGAGAGTTGCAGTGGCAGCTCCAAACTCCATGACGGCCACGACAACAACGGCTAAGTTCTTCTCCTTATTCTTCTTGCTTGCCTTGCTCCTCTGACTTTGTAACACTGGTTCAGCAAGAGTCAGAGAGGAGAAGAAGCAAAAACATTACGAGAGAAAAAAAATAAAAAGGAACCAGCGACTATTATATTCTCCAACGGGATGAGAGGGAAATAAAAAATGGCTGTAACCGTCGAAAAAACACGGTGAAGTGACTTGCAACCGGCTGTTTGGGTCTCTAACTCGTAGTTGTTCGTCTCTGACTCTGGAGGTCCACTGGACGGTGTGATGAACAGAAGGTCCACTTTTGACTGGAAGAGCCAGTAAATGTCATAAATATTTTTTAAAGAACAGAGGTATATATGCTGTGTTGTGGTTTTGCTGGAGAATAGTTCAGAGGCCAATCAGCACTATGTAACGTCATAAAGGGGTGGTTTGGGCACTTTGAGATAAAATGAGGGATAGTTTGGGTAATACCCCGTGGTGGTCTGGTCCCTGAAGGGGATTGTAAAGGTTAGTTGGTGTGGTTTCTTGCACTGCTTGCTGAATACAGCTGTCAGCTCCTTAGAACATCAAGAATGGACTGATTTATTGAAACGTTAAATCACCATTTTCAAGAATTTTTCATTAAAAAAATTAAGTTACATGTTAAGTTATTTAATAAAATTTATTATTTTGTCTAGTAATTTAAAATATCTTTAATAACATTAATTCATATTAATTATTTTTCACTTAAAATCATAAATTTATTACGTTTAAAATCATAAAATATAATTTTATTACATTATATCATATTTATGTAATTTGTAATTAATTTTATTTTGATAAAAAAATATTTTTTTATAAGTACTTTTAATGGAAATTATTTAAAATATTTATAATGAGAGTTGCTTATAACTTTTAAATAACTTTTTATATTAATAAAGACATTTAAAAAAAAAAACAACTGACATGAATTATTTTTTAATTTAAAAAATATAAAATATATATTTATTATGTTACATTATATTTTTAAATAATTCATAATTAATTTTATTTTAATAGATATATTCTTAAAAAATTTAAATAATTCATTCTTTTTTTATATTCTGTCTCATCATTTATTATTTTTTATTGTTTTCAAGTTTTTAATGAAATAAGTAACTAAATTTTGTATGAACTTATAAAAGTAAATAAAAAGAGTAAATGGGAAAAATAATAAATTATTTTAAAAAAAATCTATTTGAGAAATTACTTAAATAAGGTGTAACTTAATAAATAAATATGTATTTCACACTTTTTAATATGAAAAACAACTTGTTGAATTTATTAGAGGTGTTCTTAAGCATTTCAATAACATTGAAGATACTCACTAATTGCTTTTTAGAGAAATCATAGATGGTGTGATGAATTTTCTTTTTTTCCACTTCACCACCAGTGCACAGAATTGTTATTTCCTTCACCAATGTATACAATTGTTTGGTGAAACAAAATTTTTTAAGCAACTTATGAATATAATGATATAGATAACTACTAAAAATCAGTTGAAAAATGATTTTGATAAATTTATTGTAATAAAAATGAATAATTTAATAAATTTTTAATAAAAAGTATTAAAACTTATTAATAAAAATATAAAATTTAAAAAATATATTTCATAAATATTATTTTTTTAATTTTAAAAAATATAAAACAAAATTAAATTTAGAAAAATAGTTATTAAATAAATTTTCTAGTTTATACAAATTAATAAACATCTTTTAAACCTGCTTTGTTGTTTAAAGATTTTGTTAGAAAAAAATTAATTATAAATTATTTAAAAATATATAATATAATAAATCTATATTTTATTAAATAAAATTTATATCAATCATGTCATTATCTTAATCATTTCATTATTTATTGTAAACTAATTTAGCAAATATGGAATTTTAAAGGAAAAAAAATAAAACTAAAATATAACACTTTTTATTTTTTTTAAATGTGGTTTTAATATATTTTTGAAACCAAAAAATATAAAATATTTGGTTGACTTTAATAAAATATATTAAAAAATTTCTATTTTACTATTTTGATATTTACATCACAATAAATATATACATATAAATTAATTAAATATTAAATATAATAGAACTAACAAATATAATAAATAGTGTAATTATTTATTTTAAGAGAATGTAAAATAAATAAAAATGTTTCTTTCTTAAGATAAATTAATTAATAAGTTAAAATTAAGTAATTATACTATGAATAAGTTCATTATATATATTTTTTTTTAAATTATAAAATTTTATTTTTAATATTTTATATTTTTAATTTTTTATATATATGAATAAAAGTAAAATATATAATTCTGTGTAAAATGACATATTTAATTATTAATTTTTTTATTATCAAATAAGATAAATATATTTTTTTTATTTTCTTGTATATTGTTTTATTTTATATTTTCTTTTTAAATGAAATAACTTATATATATATATATATATATATATATATATATATATATATATATATATATATATTGTGTGTGTGTGTGTGTGTGTGTGTGTGTGTGTATGTATGTGTAACAAAAATCTTGAGGAGAATCTACTACAACACATTTACTTTTTCCTTCCTATTATAAAAGAACAAATTAAAGAAATTGTTACTATCCTTGACCATATCATGTCATGATGAATGAGTAATAATATGTTGAGATGATCATTAAACATTTATTTAATGCGTATTTATTTTTGTTATATGATTTAATGAGTATTTACAAAATCTATTTATAACAGGGGACAGAAATTATTGAACCAATGATTTTTAATTCAGATATGTATTGTAAAAAATTAATAACAGTGCACACATGCATATCATTGAAATTATAATTCATTATAATTTTAAATGGTTAAAAATATATAATATTTATAAATTATTTTAAATATTAAGATAAAATTTGTGAATATATACTTAAAAATAAAAACATTTTTTTTTCTAGAATAAAAATAAGTACTAAACTCTTAGAAGAGTTGCACCCATGGAATCATGCATAGGATTTTTTGAATTGTGCCAATGTGCCTCATGAATTCCACTTAAAAATAGAGTTTTGAAACCTAAAACACAGAAATCTACGGAGGAAGAAACAAGTACCATTTATTTAGCATGAATAATGCAATTAAGGAACATAACAACACATAAGTAAGTAAGTACCTTAGTATGAAAAAGAAGACAAAAACAAAAGAAATTCCAAGAATGTGCTATCACACCAACAACTAACAAGTTAGTTGTAATAGTAAAGTGATTTTTTTCTCTCCTAATTTTAAACCATTGATAAAGTGGATACACAATCATGATCAATCACCAGCAAAAAGCTAATGCATGGAAGAAGATTCCAATGAATGAGTATAGGAGAATCTGAAATTAATGATAACATTGGTAGTTTTCAACATCTAAAGCAGCAAAGCAAAGCTCAATGCCACTTTCACTTTTGTTTTTAGACAAATAATATTCTACATGTATCTATGTATGTGTGTGCCAAATACTTTAATCAACAATCATTAGATTTGCTTTATCTTGTTGAGTAGGTTAAAGATGAATAAATTAGAACACTTCACAGGTTATTGTTGAGAGCTATTGGCATTACCCTTTGACTCATATTATAGTACAATAACAAACTAACCTTATCACTTTATTTTTTTATGGACATTTTTATTTTTATTTTCTCTTATATCCTGAAAACTACTTTACTGAATATTGAGAAAAATAAAATATGATAGAAAACTATTTTTTCATTATATTAAAAGAATGTGTTTGAAAAAATTAATTTAAAAATATATACAAAGAGACAAGAATGTTCCAGGGTTAGTTTTGGAACACACTCTTTACTTTTTTGAATACCTTCTTCTTTTTCATTTATTAGAGTTATAGATGAAAAATAAATTTGTGTTAACAACTAAAACCTTTCATAATATTAAATGAATATTAATGGATGATATAGTATAAATATTTTAATTATTTATTTGTTAATTGGATTAATATCAAATATAATTCGTCTTTAATCTATTAAAATAGAAATAGGTAGATTGATCTATCATAATTAGGACAGTGTATAAAATCTAACTTGTCTAGTTGAAGAACAGTGAGTTGATGTACTAGTAGGTTAATGGATTAATATTTGTTTTATATATATAGTTTTATATATGTATTTTTTCTTAAATACACCTTTAATTATTTAAATAATTTTTAAGCTTTTATTTATTAATTAATATTTTTATTAAATAAAGTGAAAAATTAATATATATTTATTAAAATAACTAATTAATAATCAATAATTTAAATTTAATTGATTAATATTTATAATTTAAATTATAGTATATTTACATATTTTAATAATGTGATAAAAAATATAATATTTTTTATTTTATAATCATTTTAATATATAAATATTTTTTTAAAACGAGATGAATTGGTCTCATTGTGCTTTTATCGTCCAGATTGACTGATTAGGTGGGGTGGACTAAAATGGGTTAACGGTTTGTTCACCAGTTTCAACACGAGACTAAGGGTTAATGAGTCAATTTGTCGAGCTTAACTCATTTTGTCATCTCTACTCGTCCGCAAATACTTGCTATCTACTAATAGTTTTTATTAATATTTTTAAAAAATGTAAAGTGATAAAAATAAAGTTATTAATAAAAAAATTAATTATTTAAAAAACTATTTAATTTTAGAATTGATAAATTTATGTTTTTCATCTAAATTATAAAATTAAAGTTATTTTAAACAAAATATTGTTTAAATTTTTATTTGGTATTACAATTTATTTAAGTTAATATTTTATATACACTTAATTTTATTTATATTAATATTTTATAATGAAAATTTATTAAAATATATTTTAAAGAATAATTATTAAATAATTTTATTTAAAATAAAATAAAAAATATCTACGGATATCCAGAATACCAAAAAAAAAAAAAAATATATATATATATATATAAACACAAATATCTTTTTAAATAGATATTAGA